CCTACCATCTTGATTGGTCAAGATAATTGCAACCTAATATTGACAAGGAAAGTTGTGGAAGGGCCTCCTAACTCGCCAGTTTTATCCTGGAGTTACTTAGGCTGGTCGTTGCATGGAAAATGTCCAGAATACAGTGAAGGACGTATCGATGACAACTTTGCTCTGACATGTTTTTAATATGATAAATTGTACAAAACAGCAAAGGAATCCTTTGAGATTGACAAATACGGTGCAGAAAATATCTCACAAGAAGAAAGGACTCGAAACAAAGATATGAAAATCAAAACAGCACATTTAGACAGGGATCCAATAAAAGTAAAAGCGTTAGAGAAGGAATGCCAACCCCTGGAGGCTAAGGATATGATTCAAGACTCTGAGAAACATTCTGACATTCTCACCAGTGTCCAGACAGTCCGAGTGGTTGGAGAGAAAACGGAAGAGCCTGATAAAGAAAATGAGATAGGTCTAGTTGACGATGAGCTGATAGAAAATTCCAAAGTACTTGAAGTCTTGAAGGAAGCCATGCTGGAATCCAGTGTCAAAATCAAGAAAAAGATCTTTGCGGTAACTGGCAAAAGGAAGAATGTGAAAACAGAAGACAAAAAACTTAAAGCCAAACCTCTATGGGAAATGAAGAAAACGGAGAACGATTCAGAGTTGATAATTTGTGGTGGATGTGATGTGCAGTTTGACAATACCTCCTTCTACAGACACAAGAAGAAACGTGTGTGCTGGAAGGAGCACAAGAATAACGATGACAATCAAACAAACAAGTGTGCTCAGTGTGGCTGCAAGTTCCCATGTCTGATGGCCTTGTTTAAACACAACTGTAGTCGCTCACAGGAACCTACGATGCCACAATGGTGTCTTGAAGAGCAGATAGCGGAGGTGCTAAGAGACAGCGTGGAGGACAGTCCCAACTTGTCACCTATGGAAATATCCAGAGACGAGTCTGTGAGGAGAATGTCACTAGTGGACGATTCAGTCAGCCTAGTCAGTGACGAGAGCTTTGACATCTCACAGTACCACAACAAGTCCAGCAGTGATAACCAGAGGAATAAGAAGTATTCTGAAATATTCAAAGAAATCAAACATCAAAGAAGAAAACGTATGCTCAAAGTGAAAATAACTAAAGAACTGGTGAGTGCCAAAGTTAGGCTTCGCAAGCCTCGGCCAAAAATTACTATTGCTCCAAAGAAAAAACTAATGAAAAGGAAAAAGAAACTAATTTTTGAATGGTTGGTTCTTGGGGGGGAGAGAATGTAATAATCTATGTCTAATCTATGCCTGCCTTCTTTCATATACAATTTAACTAACATATGTTTTAATAATTATTATGAATTTTGTAAACAGCCAAAATAAATAGACATCTTTGGTCAAGTCTATCATTTTTGTCTTGTCTGTCTATAATATTTTAAGAGCTCATACTGTAATAAGGAGTTTAGAAACTTGCAATGCTTGATTTGGGCGATTCTGAGGTGTCTCGTAATACACGATATTGACGAGAATACAATTAAGTTCTTACTACCTAGAACTTCCGCAGAACTTGAGTTGAACTTTGCCATGATCGGTTTTAATTAGGTTATTACTGAATTTATTCAACACAATATTGTAGTATGAGTTTTTGTGAAAGAAGTTTGTGATTTGACTGCAGTAACTAATTGTGTATACTAATTTCAACTATAAAATGTATTATTCAACTAATAATTAATTAAAAAAGATAGCAAACCGTTACATAAAAGTAAAGCATACAACCTTAAAATAGTTAAGGTTGGATAACCTTAACTTTCAGGTTTAGGTGCATAACCTTAAAATAGTTCTGACCAAGAGCAAAAGAGCGAAGTAAATAGTCACCACAGAAGCCACTAGAGTGCAGGGCAGTGTCGCTGTCACATCAACTTCATTGCCTCAACTTTAACTCAACTTCTCTTCTATTCTAAAACTGTTTCTCAAAAGTGATTTAAATTAATCCAAAAGCAGACTAAAAATGCCCAAGAGATCAGCTGGGACAGAGTACAGAACACTTTCAGGCAGGAAGGTAAATCAAAAGAAGAATTTATAAGCAATCACTCGGTAAATAACCGTGTTTTACTAAGAGTATGTCCAGTGACATTATATGGTCCAAGCTGTCAGATCGACACATATGCACTTTTAGATGACGGTTCAACTATATCTCTACTAGATTCAACTACAGCCAATAAATTAGGCGTCAGTGGTAGCATTGAACCCCTTACCACTTGTTGGTCAAATGCAACTAAACATTTTGACCCAACGTCCAGACGAGTTGAACTTAAAATAAAAGGGCTCTATGAAGACGAAGTTTTCACATTGACTAATGTAAGAACTCAATTTCCCTTAGATTTACCCCAACAGTCGATCGATTCAGTAAAGCTTCGTGAGACATGGTCTCATTTAAATTCAATCGACCAACCTCTACCAACATCTCATGCCAAACCTACCATCTTGATTGGTCAAGATAATTGCAACCTAATATTGACAAGGAAAGTTGTGGAAGGGCCTCCTAACTCGCCAGTTTTATCCTGGAGTTACTTAGGCTGGTCGTTGCATGGAAAATGTCCAGGATACAGTGGAGGACGTATCGATGACAACTTTGCTCTGACATGTTTTAAATATGATAAATTGTACAAAACAGCAGAGGAATCATTTGAGATTGACAACTACGGTGCAGAAAACATCTCCCAAGAGGAAAGGACTCGAAACAAAGATATGAAAATCAAAACAGCACATTTAAACAGGGATCCAATAAAAGAAAAAGCGTTAGAGAAGGAATGCCAACCCCTGGAAGCTAAGAATATGATTCAAGACTCTGAGAAACATTCTGACATTCTCACCAGTGTCCAGACAGTCCGAGTGGTTGGAGAGAAAACGGATGAGCTGATAGAAAATTCCAAAGTACTTGAAGTCTTGAAGGAAGCCATGCTGGAATCCAGTGTCAAAATCAAGAACAAGATCTTTGCGGTAACTGGCAAAAGGAAGAATGTGAAAACAGAAGACAAAAAACTTAAAGCCAAACCTCTATGGGAAATGAAGAAAACGGAGAACGATTCAGAGTTGATAATTTGTGGTGGATGTGATGTGCAGTTTGACAATACCTCCTTCTACAGACACAAGAAGAAACGTGTGTGCTGGAAGGAGCACAAGAATAACGATGACAATCAAACAAACAAGTGTGCTCAGTGTGGCTGCAAGTTCCCATGTCTGATGGCCTTGTTTAAACACAACTGTAGTCGCTCACAGGAACCTACGATGCCACAATCGTGTCTTGAAGAGCAGATGGCGGAGGTACTAAGAGACAGCGTGGAGGACAATCCCAACTTGTCACCTAAGAAAATATCCAGAGACGAGTCTGTGAGGAGAATGTCACTAGTGGACGATTCAGTCAGCCTAGTCAGTGACGAGACCTTTGACATCTCACAGTACCACGGCAAGTACTTTAAGCCCAGCAGTGATAACCAGAGGAATAAGAAGTATTCTGAAATATTCAAAGAAATCAAACAACAAAGAAAAAAAGTATGCTCAAAGTGAAAATCACTAAAGAACTGGTGAGTGCCAAAGTTAGCCTTCGCAAGCCTCGGCCAAAAATTACTATTGCTCCAAAGAAAAAACTAATGAAATGGAAAAAGAAACTAACTCTTACCAAGGTCGCAGTTCTTGGGGGGGAGAGAATGTAATAAATAATCTATGTCTAATCTATGCCTGCCTTATTTCATATACAGTTTAACTAACAAATGTTTATTGATTATTATGATTTTTGTAAACAGTCAAATAAATACACATCTTTTGTGAAGTCCTAATAGTCTTTTATCTTGTCTGTCTATAATATTTAACATACTAATAATAACTCCGATGACGTACAGGATAAGAAATATTTTAATCATTGAATGAACAACCAAATGTGGAATGTAGGACTAAATCGTTTCTTATTTTTTTTAACTCTACTTTGTAAAATAATGGAATCACGTTGAAACTCTAAAGATTCTCCCTTATGCACAAAAATATTCTCTTTTTTATATGCCTTGTAAATGTCCACTTATTTACTGCATAATTATGCTATTTATTTATTTCACCAACTATATGAAGGATTTGATTATTTTCGTAAGTGCTTAGGGTTGCCCCATGTTTCTCACCTCTTTTAACATTGCCCTAAAAATGCATTCTTACAGCAACAACACAGTAGCTTAAAAGCAATTTAAATTCGGAAGGATAATACAATTCTTTATAATCTTTTGCGTTAGATGATGTTGTTTCATAATTTCTTATTCCATACTTATTAAATTTACACAAATATAATATGAAATAGTGTATAGATTATACGTGGAATAAAGCGTTGATAATATAGGCTATACTGTAAAGGGGTTTATTGTAATGTATTATTAGTAAGATTTCAACGTTTAACCTTGTCATTCATACGCAAGAGAGTACAAAACACCAATGTACTGAAAGAACAAATACACTAACTGAAACATAATTTAAAGCCATTTTTGGTATGTTTAAAATATGTACTTTTAAGTTTTTTACGATTTAATTTTGTGTTCATGCGATTGCCATTGTTTACGTTTCTATAATGACCGGTCAAACTCTACTCTTCAGAAAGCAATGTAAATTTGTATTCCAATGATGCAAATTTCATTTGGATCAGGTAATTTATTATTTTATTTATTCTTTACTACATTGGCACATGTTGAGTAATGTTGTGAGAGTACGGGATACAAAATCACGTCACCAATAACTGAAAGCCACTTATAATTTTTTTTATATTTCTCTTTGTGACAAATACAAATTATACCTTAACAATATGTGGATTGAAACGAAAAAATATGAATTTATAGTAAAAACCACTGTTAAAAGATTTTGTCCATCGAAGGAATCAGTGTATCCATTTAACACAATAAAAAATGTAACATATGTTATTCGAAATATTTTTAAACTATATCGTGGTAAACTGAAACAAAACAATTCCATGCTCAGTTATATTTATTAAATTTATATAAAAATGATATTATAGACATTAAGAGCCACCCCAACCTTTTGCGTTAAGATACAAAGACTAAAATGGTTTTGAATTCGTTATGGGTGCTTTTCTCGGTGTCTTGCTAAACTCTTTATATGAAGATCTCCTGGCCCCCCTCTCTTTGGTCCTTCGTGGGCTTTTGATATTTATTAGATGGATTGATGGCGTAGATAAATGCCGGCTCTAGAACATAACACAATTTTTGAAATCCAACATTTAAATGTATTTTTTGCTTAAAAACAATGTTAGCAATTAATACCTATTTACAGTATTAATTTATTTACATTTTTTATAATGACTTGTGTTATCTGTGTTTAAAAAAAACTTTTAAATATGTGATGTTTTCAATTGATGATAAGCTAAACCAAAACCAATAGGTAGATAAAATAATCATATGGCTTTGTACCTTAATATTTGTTATGTCCCACCTTCACATCCTAGGAGAAAATATTCTAGCCCGGGACTGTTTTACAGATAACACACTTTTACACATTACTTCAGGATAGTCCTAGAGGGTCGCGTCATTATTACATAAATAATATCCAATGGTGATTGGTGGGATTTGAACTTGCGACATCGGTCTCCGAAGTCCTGTGCTAAACCACTAGACCAGCTCATTCCCCGAACCTTTATACTAGAATGGATTTACATGTGACACATCAAATTCTGTACAGGTGAAACATTCCATTTTCGTACTTTAAAGAGTCGTAATAGCAGTAAACTTTATAAAATGTTTAGTTTGTATGTAGTTTAAGAACAAGATATCCACCCACAAAATATAATAAAATTAAGAAATGCAACTTTGATATTGCTTGCATAAAATATGACACACAAAAAACATCCATTCACTGAGTATAAAAAACGTCTTATCACAAAACTTTACACCAGTCAAAAACCAACAACTAAATCTACGCTTAATTGTTTTTGTCATGTCGCTTCAACAATCTAAAAACAACAAACTTTGTCAGACCAATTTAATGGTACCTATTTTTTCGTCAGTATTGGCATAAGCAGGACAAATTTATTTTCAATTAATACGAGTAAAATTCAATTTACCTACTTTCATCTACGTTATGCAGATCCACCACACTGTCTTCAGGTACTGTTACCAATTTCTTCTTCACAATGATAATCTTTTCGTCAAGAGCATTGTTACGGCTTCCCAAATCGTGTTTGCTGTTGTTTATCTTTTCAGCATTCACTTTTTCATCTTTCTTTGAAGTGTCTACAATAACTTCATCCAGATCATTCGTTGCTTTGATATTCTTAACTGAGGTCTTAGGGGTTTGCAGATTCTTCCTTGGCTTGATTTTCTTCTTGGGAGCTGCTGAAGACTCCGGGTGCGCGCCGCTAACGAAACAGCAGAAGGATAAGGGCTGTGAGTTGTTGTTGTTGACGGTTGCGATACGGCCTTTGTTGTTGTTGTTGTTGTTGTCGACGCTGTTGTTTTTGTACGTCCACGAGAAATCTTGAATAGCCGGAGATCGGATGTCCCCGGAAGGCCTTGCAACCGAAGCAAACAGGGCGATGATTCTGTTGTTGAAGAAATTGTACAATGATGTCATCAGATCTGTGGAAACGAAACGACATCAACAACATTGGTAATAAAACAATATAGCATGTTTTTGGGTGTGTACATTTCACCGTACAAAATTCACTAAATTTGATTTTAGTTTTGAATGGAAAAACTATGATTTATCAGTGGGAATTCATTGGGCTTATATTGTATTCAATGTATTGTACAAGTGTAATTGAATTATTTATATTAATAACAATTCCGCCAAACTTCATATGTTTGGGATAGAACAACAGCAACAGCTGTTATTGTTGAAGAACCCTTGCAAAATATTCCTTGAAAACTAATTCGAATATTGTAATAGTGTACATATTGCAACTATATTCATGTTGTAATAATACATTGTTAGTACTGAAAATATTTAAGAAAAAAATCGTAGTCGAGAATTGTACAGCTACGTTACCCTGAATCCTTTGTTCATCAATCGTTGAATTTCAAGTTAATTAGATCACTTTAGTAATATTAGTGGGTATTTTGTCTAAAAAAATGTCATGTTGTCTAATATCGAGAAAAACATCACCTCAATGTCTTTAAGTCATGTAAATCAATAAACAATCAAAAACTCAAAGAATTAAGCTTCAAAATAGGGTTAAACAGTTTTATTACCTCTAAAACATTTCGTGTAAACGACCAAATTCATCACAAATATCACAGCCATGATGATGATCAAAACTTTCAAGTAGAATTCAGTCCTTGGCTAGAACACATACTATTATTAACTAGATGGTCACTACCCTATATGGTACCCTAAAATGTTCCTAAAAGTAAGGGACGATTAATAAAATAAAATTTCAATTTTTCCATTCGAGTTTCTTTATTTCGGTACGTCCAGAGTGCACGCAGATTCAGATTCAGAATCAGATTCAGATTTTCGACGCGTGGTTAATCTGAGTCAGATACTTTGTTGGTGGCCACAGTGGAAGCAGAAAATACGCCGCCGGTACTGACTCGGTTAGCAAAGAAGCAAGTCAGTTGTTGTTATGAAATTGTCTGATGAGGAATTAAGTTGTAAAATTATAACGCCTGAAACTGTTGTGAAGTTACAGCCAGTAAAAAATTGTGTTCATGATATTATATATATCTTTTCCCATAGCTAGAATTGATAGAGCTTCTTTCTATATTGCGTTGAATGGAGCCCGAAACCACCGAAACTTATTATTAAATTTGGACATCGTGTTGTAAGAAACTTTTGTTACCTACACAAACAAAACAATTTTTCTGTAGAGTGTTTAGTGGTAACCCTAAAAGTAAGGATGAAAAAATTAAATATTTTACTATAAACACAACATTTATTTAATCAAATAGCATGCGTACGAGCAAAATCTGAATCGGAATCTGAAACCAGAATGGAGAATTCATTCCGGTAAGCAGGTGCCTGCGCGCCGGCTCGGAAACCGGCGGCCACTATGGACACTTCCATTCAATTGCAAGTGCCATTCCTGCCGCTGAAAATCTGAATCTGAATCTGAATCGGCGCGCACTCTGGACGTAATGTTTAGATATGTAGATATTCATTAAGAACTTTAAACTTAAATTTTTCCTCATTAAAAGTCAAATTAGCTTTGAAGGCAATTTAAACACCATTCTGGATTATTGAGAAAATTACTGTTTTGTTTTACTGAAGAAATTTTGTTAACCCTTCCAGGGCTAAATTAAATGAAAGGCTGGAGCTTAATTATTTTTTGCCAAAAATTAAAAACTAAAGTGGTTGTGTTTTGTACTTATTTCACCTGAAATAATTCATAGATCATAAAAAGATTTTCCTTAGGGCTGAACTAATTTTTGTACAAAATTTATGAAGAAAATAAAATTTGATTTGACGGATATGTCCGTCTTTGGCCCACAAAAAACTTAAGGTGGACGGATATATCAGTCTGCCACACTCAGTGATAATCACAAAATATGAACACTGCCAATCATCTTGAGTATTCTTGTGGGCGGCTGACGGATAGGCCAACCTTAGGCTATTCCTTCCCTTGTTTTATTTTTCATCCATAAAAATGTATCTATCATTCTGAAGTAAATCTAAACCACTCAGTTCCGCTCCCATGTCCTCAATCCCATTCCTCGCCAAGACTTCCACTACGTAAAGACTGTTCTTCAGGTTCATCATATCCATCGCATCCCTACTATTATTTTCACTGCCAAGAAAAAACCCCCCTCAGATATACTTTTATTAAGCATCTCAATAACATCTTCAAATTTAACTTTAACTTTTATTTTTACAAATTTGTCTCTTACTTTTTTGTTGAGATAGGCTACAGTTAGTTGTGGTGAGCATGCAAGAGTTTTACATTAAACATGTCTTATCCTATTTTATTTTTATTTTATTCTTATTGAAGATTTTCATAACTAGCCTATTTAGGTTGGTTCCGGTAAACTTTTGTTATTTTGTACACTCTTCTTTAATAATTAGTTATTGTTGTACTTTAGTTGTTGTTTTAATAGTGCTTTAGGCCTATTGTTATTTATTAACCAAATTGTAAAACTTCGCAAACAAATTAATCAATCGGTCTTTCCATTAATCAATTATTTAAGATGGGGACGCCACTAAGTGCGTATTTTAACCCAAATATGAGTGAAGGATGAGTGTAGGATGAGTGGCGCGATCTTGTGGTCTTGTTAGTGACTAAGGCCGACATGTTCCTTAGACACAGCTGTTAATTAACAGCCCATACAGCCAATGTCAACTAAGGGACCTACAGTTTATAATGGAATCCGAAACAAATTTTTCCCTTGAAATTAACGAATTAGCCTACAATAGTTCCTGATTCTAATGAGATCTATTATCAAGTCTTGAACTATGATGATAAAAAAGAATTTCGTCTCGATCCCGTCTCAAACTTAAAATCAAGGTCTCGTCCATCCCTAGTCTTAGAGAGTTACGAAGCACCCTGTGTAGGGCTACCAACAGATCCACTACCTATTTCTGAAATCTAATTACAGCAGTAAAGCAATGAGTTATTGCTATCTTAAATTTACACATGTATGTGTTGTAGTGTGATATGTGACTTGAACGTCTTGCCACGGTTTTGTAAACAATCCTATTTTGACAGTTCTCATTGCGTATCACCGTTTTTTGTTGCTGCTTAGTTCAAATTAGCTGTGCTGCACCCTGTTGGTAAATCTTATAACTTTTTAATGCTTTTGTATATCATAGAACCAACTTTTTTAGTTGAAACAGCCGACTAAATTCTTTTAATTCCCTTTAAATATGAATACTCATAAGGTTAACATAGGGAACTACAGAGCCACTGGGGCGGAGCCCGAAAGGATTTTTGAGATAAGAATATGCCAATATATTAATCGGGAATGTGAGCTATCATCATGCCAAATTTCAGCCCAATCAATCCAGTAGTTAATGCGTGATTGAACTTCAAAAAAAACAAACAAACAAATAAATAAACAAACAAACAAACCAATACACAAACTTTCACATTTATAATATTATATTAAGATAAGATAAGATATTATGTTCTCAAAATTACAAAAATTGGTTTAAAATGTTGCTTAGTGATAAAAGATTAGAACATTAAAATTAGTTCAAAAGAACAAATTAACAAGTGAACTAAAAATGAGTGATGAAGGGCGTCTGTGCTACATATGCTTCGGAGAAGATGGGGAGGACGAACGTTGGGTGTCTCCTTGTAAGTGTTCCGGGAGTCTCAATTGGGTTCATCAATCCTGCATCGTCCGGTGGGTTAAAAACAGGAGGCGAAACAACCGTTTACGCCAGCGTTCTGCTCTCAGTGTAGGACGCCGCTGAGACTTTCACCAGAGAGAAGCCTGCTGGTGTATACAATGGATTTAATCAACAAAAACGCGTACCACATCTATAAGTATTACGCCTTCTGGATCTTCGGTTATGGAGTTGTGGAAGCAGTCGTTTGTACCTTTGGAGTCTACGCGCAATCTCAAGTGTATGGCTTGGATGCAACTCTGAACGCTCTGTATGAATCGACTCATTTCCAGCCAATGCTGAGTATGCATTCGACAACATTGTCACTTTTAGTGATCAACCTTCCGTGGGAGACATTATTGTTGAGAAGGTTGCAAAACCTGGGTAGACTACCCGTGTTAAAATGGATTTTCCCAGAAGAGATTCCTGTTCGCTACAGAATAAAAAAGGTACAATTTTCGACGAATAATGTGATCACTGCCACTTTACACCCTGTTGTTGCAAGAGTGATTGGTAATTTTGTATTCCCTTTTGTAGAATCGAACCTTCAAAGGGTTTTATTTGGAGGGCTGTCTTTTCTTGCAGTAAGGTGGGTTCTGTCCATGTACCTTCAGCATAAAAAGGAACTTCGTCTTAAGAAAATGAGGATCTTACCATATCAAGTTATTAATTCACTTACAGTTTCTGACGAAGCATTGTAGTATAGATTTTATGGACGATACAAAGGTTGTTGATATATTAATATGTATTCATGTTAATTATAAATTTGAAAAGTAATAAATAATTAGTTTGATTATTGATTTTGAGAGTGTAGATTGCAGTTTCAGAACTAATGGCTTGATAAAGTTAGGTTTTTTTTTAATACAATATAGAAGAGATCTAATGATTCTGCTAGTGCAGATTGGTATTTAACATTTTAGAGAATAATTAGTAAATAAGTTGAAGGGGTTTGAATAAATTGTATTGTGTTGAAATAAAATGAAATACAGTAAAATCCCATTATCGATAAGATCTAATAAAAAATGTAAATCAATTATTGGATAGTTAATAAGCGATATTTCCGAATGGATGGACTAGGGCAGCTTCTAGGGTGGAAAATTTTATGAGCCGGAAAAATTTAGGAAGATTAATAATTTAAAGGATGTTTTAATCTAAAAATAAAAATGTTAAGCAATTAATTTTGAGAACTGCAAAAATGTGATTTTAAATACTTTGATTGAGTATAAAAAGATTTCAGAACACATTAAAGTCAAAAACGACCATTTTATTATACGGCTGTGTCGTGTTTATCGTTTATCATGCTGCCCTGTCAGTCTGGCGCACACATGCGGCTCGCGGGCGTGGGCTACTGCCGCGTACTCGTAGTGTAGGCCTACCTCCCCCTGCTATTGTTTGTTACTACGCAGTGGCAGCATGTGTGACATCTCTATGAAATGAAACGTAATAGGGTCAACGTAGGTAATTGTGAACGCCAATGACGAATTTTTCAGATAAACGCAATTTACAAAAAAATTTTAAGCAATTTTAAAAATGTGGTCAGTGTTATAGAATTATACATATTTTGGGCTTAATATTTCATACCCTATTTAGTTAGGGAGTTATTCGGCATTCACAATTGCCTACAATTTTGGGGTAAATGTGAACTCAGTTGAGAAAAATATTAAGTTACATACTACAGCATAGGAGAGGAATTGTGATTAAAGCCTAATTCAAGCTGTTCACAAATTACCCACTTTCAATGGCATGTGACAAAAAATAAGCGTGCAAATGAGATTTTTCCGTGGTACTTTGAAATAGTTAGAAAATTTAGGTAGATGTAAAAATAGTAAAAAATGGTCAGAATAATTAAAATTAATGTATTTAATGGGTAAAATAGTATTCTTATACAACAGAAAATAATATAGAGTAGTTATTTGATACAGTAAAAATTTAAAGGAAATTACAAAATAATCTCACTTTAATCAACGAAAGAGCACAAATTTGTTTCTTAAAATTATTGAAATCCTACTGTAGCCTAATAACAATCAACCATTGGAAAAAAAAACTAACTTACCTTGGTTAGATAAAATAATAAGCTCTTTCCTTTTAGGCTATACAAAATATTAGTTGTACTAAAAATGGTTTTTATCTTGAAAAACCTTAAAAACTAGCCTATTTAGAAATCAATCACTAACAGATGTGCCTACTAACTGTCCTGTCCGCCTACATCTCAAAAACTGGAACACAACCTGGAAACTTGTTAGTAATCTGTGTTTCTTTTACAGGCGGGGTAAAAGTGAACATCGTTAATTGCCCCAAGATTAGGTTCACAATTACCACATAGTGAAATATTGAGGGTAATTGTGAATTTGATAAAATAAAAAGAAAATTGCTTACATGAAGGGTATGAGTATATATACAGTAATGCATTATACATTTGAAATTCTTACATAATGACTGGTTTTCATTTCAATCTGACTTTTACTTTTTTCACAAAAAAAATATCCGTTAAGGTCGACGCAACTTGTTTGTCAACGAAAAACGCACCTTTTTTTATTCAACCTAAAAAAAAATGTTAAGCGGCTCTTAACTTTCTAGAATTTTTATCCTGTATAGAAAACAAACCAAATAAACATAAAACATTGATTACTACTCAAATCAACAATACACTAAGAAATTACAGCCCTAGTTCACAATTCCCCCAGTTCACAATTACCCACATTCACCCTATGGACATACTGATGCAAGCTAAGAGAAGCTGTTGATCGATCTCATCACTTATCAGATGGTGAAGATAACTTCATTGATGAGCTTGTAGCTTTTGATGGGCTTAAATCCTCTATTGAAAGTGTCAAATAGTAACTTTAACTCAATAACATAAAAATTAAGTAAAAACACAAAATGTAAACATCACTCACTAATAACCATGTGTGAAGTGACAGCAATATTTACTTACGCACACTCTATGGTGCAAAATAGCCGAAACAGCTGCGGCAATTATTATTGCCAACCACAAAAACAAAATAACCCATTTATAATGCAGTGTGATGTTTATTACCCTATTATATCAATTCGTTTTTTGGACGTGGGACGGATATAGGCTATCCGTTTTCAGCCCGGAAAGTAAACAAAGATTGACGGATGTATCCGTCCATAGCCCTGGAAGGGTTAATTTAGAAGGTGTACGATTGCTACCATTGTTTGATGTGCATAAAATTGTTCTTACAAAAACTAGCAAAACGAAAACAATAAACTTATAACTTTGTAGCTAGTTATAATTAATTGGTCTTGTGGAATCAGCAGACATAGACGAACTCTGCCTGTACGTCTGCTGGGTTTCATATAGTCTTTTAATGACCTAAATTTCTTGATTGGGAATTTAAACGGAGATTGAATAAAAAATGGAAAAAGATTTTTTTAATTTTTCTTGAGGATGAATTATGAGAGCTACTTTAGAACCGCAATGCATGGTATGAAAACGGTTTTTGCTGCAGTATGACGAAAAACTGTAAATTTGATTAGAATATATCCATAGGAAACAAACTAAAATTGTTAACTTATTCTCCATAAGAAAAACATAAGATTTTTAAAATATAAAATGGAATTTTCACCGTAATATTTTCCATGAAAACTGAACATTTTTATGTAATAAATTAAAATCACTTTTAAAAAATTAAACTTTATAATACCACGTTCCCATGGCCCAATCCTTTTGGTTTGAGAACTCACTCAAGTTTATCCAGATTTGGAGCTTATGAAACTTGGAGGTTATGAACCGCTCTGTTTATTTGATATTTAAACGTTGGAGTTTGTGAAATTTGGACATTGTGAATCGGTGATTATTTGAAAGTTATAGTTTTGGAGTTTATGAAATTTGGAGGTTATGAAACACACTGTTTATTTAATATTTTAGACGTTGGAGTTTGTGAAATTTGGACATTATGAACCTCACCCTATCCACACAATCATGCCGCATTTCATAAAATCTGAACGAATGGCGTTTTTAGCCTATGTGTTTTAAAAATTACACTGCCAGAGTGCCAGGCACAGTAGTACTTTTCGGAATAATGCTGCAGTATTTGAACGGCCCCATTATTTCGAAGCACTGCTATAGAAACTAATTCATGATAAGAGAAATAATGTTAGTAGAAACTCTTTTGTAGTGGTACTTTTCATTGTAATACCATTAGGAGCATTCCCATAGAGACCCATTCTTGATGGTGAAAGAATGTTAGGCTATGCTTTTAGAGAAGTGCTTTTTCGTGCACCAATTGAAACATATCGTAAGAAGCCAATAATGCATGGAACAATTTAAATTTGAATTGGAAAGCACCTCTAGCATGGTAGTTGTTTTGGTCCATGAAAAAGCTAAATCAGTCACTCTTTAGATCCATCTTTATACTCCGTTCTAAGTTCATGCCAACAACAATATCCATCTACTCAAAAACACATTTTTTCTATAATTTGGCATTACATTTTCAGCTATCAAATTCAAAGGGTACTAATACGAACGTATGTTTAAAGCAGGGCACTGCGCGGGAAGACAGGGTTCCAAGTGGTTCTGCTCTGAAAAATCGGTGTCACTCAGGCACACAGTCAATGTTTAACTAAAACTAATGTTGAATATCTTTAAATAATAAGGATCAATAGCAAAACTACAGAAACAAACTGCCTACGATTAAGAATCACAAAAATATCTTATTTTACATGTTGAACGAAGATATGATATGAAAATCAAACAATGTATGCTCACATTAAGCTATTCCCTATGAATCTCAACTATAGCAGACTTATCACAAAACTACCAGTGAACCAGTTGTTCTATCCGGGTATATAAAAGTATTTACGGATTTCCGTACATTTACGGATATTTGAAAACACCACTTCTGCAATAAACACTACATGATGTAAATAGCTCTCTTGTACTTTTTGACCGAAAACAAAAATACCGAAACTTGAATTTTATACTGTGGAAAATATAAAGGTAATATGACCTATTAAAATTACAAAAAGGGTATTTAAAATAAAATGTTCTTATTATTTTAGCCTGTTACATAAAATGCAATAACATTTACCTTGATACATTCAGGGAGAGTCTCGTCCATGTCTGGAAAGTCTGTGTTGGATATGTCATGGTCCATGTCCGTGTAGTCTGGAAAGTCTGTGTTGGATACGTCAGGGTCCATGTCAGTGTAGTCTGGAAAGTCTGTGTTGGATATGTCAGGGTCCATGTGTTGTGTTTCGATGTTGATGCGCGAGACACTGCATATGAGACATAGAGACATTTGGTTATGGCGGCGTCATAGATGCCAGTGGTGCCACTCTAGCCGAGAGAAATTTTCTCTGCAGATACATACTATATGAAATGCATTTTTATATAATACTATAATTTATGACGTATGGTTTAGTTTTTGTTTGAAATTGAGGATGATCAACTTATTTTTTATCAACTATAAAAATACCAATAGGCAAATTAAGAATATCAATCATAGATAGGAAACTAAATAAGTAAATATCAATATTCTGGATTAGGGTAGGCCTACCTATTTATTTCGGCCGATAATTTTTTCGTAGATTATTGTTTACAAATGCCTTTAACATAAGCACCTTTTAATGTCAAAATTCATGATTTAGGTGATGTGGGACTCTTAAATTATTACAAAAAAAAATGGCAAATAACTTTAGTGAGTAAACAGGTCAGGTCAAACCAAGTACGTAAAAACCCTTACCAGTTGTGTACAATAATACAATTGTTTAAAGGCAATTAAAATACAACAAAATCAATTGTTGTGATAAAACATAACACTCGTAAACACCACGAAAAAACATAAATTTAATTCCCTTTTTGGAAGGTATACATCGACTTTTGGGCAAAACCTAAACTATAAATAACACCCTCTTGTTAAAGCTAAAACCAGTTTGAGAATTAAACTGCACACATGTAATTATTAAATTGAGTCACCCACAGTTTACTGGTGGAAATTTTGAAATTATACCCGATACGCCGACTTTTAACCAAGCCAAACCAAAACACAACTAACTGTAGACTGTTGCATCTTATAACACAGCACATAAACTCGCCTTTGCTCGCTATGGAGGCTCCGCCCCCAGACCCCCTTTTTTGGTTGGGGGATTGTTGGAAAATCCCCGGAGAAAATCTGTTACTGAGTAAAGTAATACAATAATAATAAGTTTGTAAAATACTAAGCACTGTATTCTAATGCAACTAAAGTGTTTTTGATACAGGAATCTTGGGGGGGGGGGTTATATAATTAATTCATTGAAGTTATTTGTACATTTACTAAAGGACACATAACTACACGTCTATCCATCTAAACGTTGGGGGGGGGGGGGGCATAAGATTTTTTGTCTAATTGTTTTAGGAATTAAGCCCTCACGTTTCTTTCTCGAGCTTTATAACATTTGGGAAATGAGCCGCCGGGCAAGCGGTGGTAGTTATTTTTCTTGCATATTTAGTATTTATTATAGTGTATTATTTATTTATAATATGTATTCCCTTACATATAAGAACTAACAATGAATTGAGAGGCATCTTTAAGGACCCAGAAATTATAGCTTTAATCAAAAGCTAAAGACAAAGATGGGCCCAGCTAGTCAAATTTAAGAGGTTTTAGACGCAGTTCCTGTAGGCAGGTGACCACTGGGCAGACCGAGACTGCGGTGGTGGGACCAAGTTTGAAAAGACATGAGAAGAGTGCATGTTAAAGAATAATTGACGGAAGACCGAGGAAGATGGCGAAAAGCTGTTGTTGAGGACAAAATGTGATTAGGTTTGAGTGGTCAACTAGGTAAGGTAAGGTATGAATTTCCTTTACTTTTTGGACTCTGAGCCCTGTCCCAAAACATGTTGAAGGCTGAGTCCTTCCCCTTAATGTTTAAAGACTCTTTCTCTTAACGTTTGGATAACGGAGTTTTTTCTCTAAACGTATGGGGGCGCCTTTCTCTCCCAAGGTTTGCATGACTGAGCCCCTTTCTTTAAATATTTGGAGGAATGAACCCCTTTCCGTCAACGATTAAACTTCTGAGCCCCTTCTCTTTAATGTTTGAAGAGTCCCTTACTTCTATATTGGAATGATTGGCCTAATAGTTTTAACCAGTAAGGTTAAAATTATTCTCTTCATTTACAATGTGCATTTTCCCAGACACATCCCACGGCAAAGCGTGGCTGACACATACTGTAGTTATTAAGTAAAACGTGTAATTTTACGATTCATCAACACCTATAATTATAGCATTGATGGCCTAAACATAGACAGCTCCTTTTTATACTTCCTAATTTTATATATGTTATATGACCCTTAATTTCCAGTCTTTTTTTCAAATTTGTTTTAAGTATTCTTATCAATGTTTTCATAAATTACAAGCAAATGGTTTAACACCCTATTACACGATTTAAGTTAAAATCCCAAGCCATCTGTTAAAGATTAGGTAATGGAAAACACACTTTTCATAGTATCTGCAGACTGCCGACAAACTTTTCTTGCGGGTATAGTGGCCTCACTGGCAGCTAGTATATAAAGCCGCCATAACTACCTGGCTTTGTCTCAGTCTCATTCTCTTCTCCTTCATTGTTGAAGTGTTAGTAGTGAAGTTCTTCGAGATGCCTGTCCTCTCCATCTACCGTGTCACCCTGTCTTTCCCGCCCAAGGGGAACATCAGTCACACTGGCCTTCTGGTCTCTACGGAAAACCCTCCCTTTGAGGTATGTTACCATTTAAATAGGATTTAACTAAGAATGTTTTAATGTCAGTTTCTGTAGTTTTTAGGAAGTAATTTGTAGTGTTAATAGTACTACCCATGATGTATATGTCGAGGTAAATTTTAATTTATTTTCCCAACAGGTTTATAGGAGAAGATGAAGGAACCTGTGTTTAAACTGCTCATTTACATTGTTCGAAATTTGTTTCGGTGGAATCACGAACCTACCAGTTAACAATTTATTCAAATATTATATTTTTTTAACAGCTATAAGGTGATTACAACAACTAATAATTTAACTTGTTTATTTTACATCAACACTAGAGAGAGCGAATAATCCATAAGTTTTTTACATGGAAAAAATATACATGTACTATATGGAATGTTTGTATGAATGCCCTTACGCAAACGTGACAACAATCGACAGTTTTATTCGGTGGTTTTACATTTTTTTAATTTATTTTTTCATCCGTTATTGAAAAGTTTTCTAAGGTAGTTGAAGTTGAAGAGATGAAGTTGAACTGTGTTGGTTTTGATTTGTTTCATTGACATGTATAAGATATTAACGTCGTTTGATACTTGCAGAGGTGAGACTTCTAAAATGAGAAACCTCTTGATACAGGCCTACACATAAACTTTTATCAATTCGTGTGTTGACTGTTTGGATAGTTTGCTTTGTGATACATTTATTATTGAGATGTTCACAACAGTAGCATAAAAAACAAATATTTATTGTTATTTTTTCCTTTAACAGGAAACTATTCAATTTTATGCTTGCAGAAGCGGTAATAATTCAGGAGATAATGTCTACATTGAGTAACCATTAATATCTTAAATAAGGTTGTTAAGTTGACGGTTTGAGTATGTGTCTTCAATAGTTTGTCAATATTTTATATACAGTGTGTAAATTATGTCTTGAAACAAATCTGTATTTATAAAACCGAAATAGATAGAAGTATTCTGTTTTTAGTGTTGGTTCTTAACAAGTTCCACAATTTTTTACACAAAAAATCTATTAACCTCCCATGGTAGGGGGTAGGGGTTGACTTATTTTTTCCAAATAGCAACCCCTATTGAGTGACCCCTCATTTTGAAGGGCTTGTCAAAAGAAACACAATGACGCTAACCCGAAGTGAATATCTTACCCCTAGCCAATATGGCAGGTATTCCAAAATGGTTGCTTTATCACATAAATCAAATTTTGGAATACCCTCCATTTAGGCTAGGGATGAAATATGTACCTCGGGTTTGCGTCACTGTATTTATTTTGTTAAACCCATCAAAATGAGGGAGTCACTCAAAAGGGTTGTTATTTTTAAAAATCATCCCCACCCCCTACCCTGTTAAAGGGGTTAAAAGATATTGTTGATGTAAACAATTGCGGAACTTATGTTACAAATAAATTCCACAAACGTAATATTTCAATATATTTTGGTTTAAAAAATACAGATTTGTTTTCATGTTTGTGAAATTGGTGCTTTTTCACATACAGTAAATCAAATTTTGGAATACCTGCCATTTTGGCTAGGGATGAGATATCCACCTCGTGTTTGCATATTGTGTTTCTTTTGACAAGCCCTTCAAAATGAGGGGTCACTCAATATGGGTTGCTATTTGAAAAAAATAAGTCAACCCTACCCTCAACACTGTTAGGAGAGTTAAGGGGTTGTGTAAAAAATTGCGGAACCTTTGTTAAGAATCAATTCTACAAACAAAATATTTCTAATTTCGGTTTTAAAAATACAGATTTCTTTCAAGACTTAATTTACACACTGTATATAAAATATTGACAAACTATTAAAGACACATACTCAAACTGTCAACTTAACAATCTTATTTAAGATACTAATGGTAACTCAATGTAGACATTATCGTTCCTTAATTATTACCGTTTTTGCAAGCATAAAATTGTATAGTTTACCTGTACCTTACCTTTAGTTAGTTACCTTTGTAAAGTAAAAAATAACAAAAAATATTAAATATGGAAAACATTCCGCTGTTTTTTTTTTATATTGTGTACGATAGAGTGTTTTATAATGTTCAACTCACGTGCCACACATCTTGTGGATTTTTTGTATTGTTCACAAACCTTAATTGAACACGCCACTCATCTTCATCGCTGACATGGGGTAGACCATTCCATTTCTAGTGATCCAAATTGCTAGTGTTCATAAATGGTACAGAGCCCTAATTGTACGTCTTAATGATTCGTATTGTATCTGCGTTGAACAACAAAATCAGACGTGGTTTCAATGTACCACTCCTCACTCTGTCCGTTAATACGAGTTTCCAATTGCGATTTTTACGTGACTTGTCAATTCATTTGTTATTGTTTGCCTAAACAACCAGTTAATAAAACTGCTACTGATTTATACGTTTTAGACACACTTCCATTCGGTGTTTTTATACAAACGTTTCGTCATATTGCAGCAGTCGTTTTTAATGCATGCGATGCGGGTCTCTAAAGTAACATTTTTACTCTCTAGGGAGTAAAAACCGTACTTAGCCCTTAGGGAGTAAAAATCAGCTGTTGTTAACTCAGTTGTAAATTTCGATTGTAAACAATTGCATGTATCGAATGTATTTATTGATTGTTCAATAGATCGTGGTTAATTGTTGCCTTATTGTAAGTAGTTCGGCATATCGATTATATAATGTACCCTGACATAATCTTAATAGAAGCAACGATTGAATCACTTAGGCTACTAAACAGCTGCTGGATTCCATTAGCAAATTAATTTGCAAACAAGCTAGAAGTAATTTTGAAAGGTTATCATTAAAATAAAGATATTTCAGTTTTGTAACATAGTTTGTTCAAATGTTAAATTTGACGAAAAATACAGTTCATCACTTGCACAAAGTGTCTTCTAAACACTAGCTCATTTTCGGTTGTGGTTTATCGGGAACAATGTCATCAACATACACATTTTATAATCTAAGATGTATTTTTGTAATTATTGCAAACCATAAAATTTACTGGACAAATAACAATTCTTTAATGTAAAAATATGCACTACAACGAAATTTAGATAAACATTTATATATAATCTAACTTTAGTCGAAGTACTACTATAGACAAAAATAATTAAACATAAACAGCCCGCTGTGTTGAGGTTACCATAGGTTCTGGCGCACACCACTGGGAGCGCCTTGTAGTTACGGCCTACGCGCTACGTAAGAACTTGGCGATTCCAGCGGTGTGCAACAGAACCTATGGTAACCACGGTAACCACTGCTCGGCTGACGGTCTATATTTAACTCTTTTTGTCTATGGTACTAATCATATTCTTCCCTCATTTTCATTCTTTTTTCTCCCCTCTAGTCATTGATACTCGATGACACAAAACCATATTAGTTCAGAAATGGCTCTTTTTAATTTTCGTCAACAGTCTTCATTTCAAGATGGTACGCTTGGTGATATTGATTTTTAGTTTTTCTTTATTACTCCTAAACAAATTGAAATTCTGCTTTTCCATGAAGGTTTGGCATGATGATGTTATGCCATTTATATCGGTTATTTACACAGGCCTGGGGTGAATGCCTATTTGTTAATACCCTGCCCACTGGGTATTTACCTGGTCCACATCACTACTCATTGTATATCTGCAGCGAATAGTATATTATTTATTTTAGCCCATGACTTGGGAAATTCGTTCGTATATTTATAGTAGATGTCATTAGAACACTTTTTAACATATATACAATAATAATTACTTAATCCTAATTATAATCCTACTTTTCATAGGATTCTAACTATCAAAAGTATTATTTACAAACAGATCGTAACAATCATGAAGACACATTTTTGTAGGAAGAAATTGTTCTGTAACAAGGAATGTTTGGGTTTTATTGATCGTTAGGAAAGATCGTCCATCATATTAGTGTAGTGACCATCTATACACTACAGTTTATCTTTTATGTTTTTCAGACTGCTTACCTGACTACTGAGGAATGTTTTCAACTTATGTCCATGATCATGGTTGTGGTCCTCATGCTTTATATCATCGTCTTCTACAAATTCTTTTGGAAATTGTACAAAGGTGAAAGATTTAATACTTTTATCGTTAAATTTTAAATTCGATTAGTGTTTATCGATTTTCATTATTTTTTAACACTAATGGGTTGTTTTTGTTTGACTGCTTTTAGTAATCAAAAACAAAAGATGTCACTGGCCTAAATGTAAACCAATAAACTTGTAATCTGGCCTAGTTTTGTACTTGAGCTCTAATATTATGATGTTTGAGTTTTTTTAAGATAAACTTTGTTTTATTTCATGCCAATGAGGTCGTTCATTTATATCTATAATCCATATTGTTATATGCTATACTTATAAACCATGCTAATTACGTACACAAGACAATTGTTTTTAAGGTAAACCAGTTAAAATATCTGCTGAAATAAAAGTGTGGCCTTTGTTAACTTAAACAAACGTTAGGAGTAACCTTGAACAGTTCCAATACTGTTTTTGGATTCTGGATACTGCAATAGGAATACAATCCATAGTTTTCAGTTTTACAAAAAATATTTTGTCAAATAAACTCTCCCCTAATTCTGTCATTCTTGTTCTTCAATAAACAAATGAAGAAGTTTATGTGTATAGTTTTGTATAGAATATGCTATATTTTGAAGAATGTTCAACAATAAGAAATCAGGTATGACGTTTTAAATTAACTTCAGCTATCATGATGCCTTTAACTTAAAATGGATACAAAAAATCAGGGTAAAAGGACATGCCAACAGAATAACAACGGAACCAAACTATTCCATCCGCGGTGATAAGGACTTGAACAGAATATGTTGACATGATTATAACACCTATATAATGTAATAGGTAGATCCTTTTTTTTTAACTTAATCATATTTCCACAATGATATTAAACAAGAAACAATTATGCTAACACAAACGTGTTTATGATTACACTCATAATCAATGAAGACACTTAAAAATATAAGGTAATTCACGCACAACAATTGTACAGAAGTAGCAATACTACAAATAATTTTAATGAATGCATTATGGTAGAAAAAATTAAACAATATTAAAAACGAGTAGTTTCAAGATCGTTATTTAAATTACCAAAATTAGTAGAACTTAACTATAATAAAAGTTAAAACTTGCCATTTTAATTGTATTATCAATGTTATTTCGTTTCCACAGCTCTGAGGGCAACTGTTTACAGCTGCCTTGCCACCTGCTTTAGAAAGTGTGGGTTTAACGTGCCCCGTGCTGACCCCTACAACAACCTTGTAGAGGAAGGTGAGTAGACTACATGTACTTTCAAAAGTCTTAAAACAATAGTGGCTCTGTTTATGAAAAATACTGAGTAGTTTTAAAAGGCCTTGGAGGGATTGTGGGTAACATATAATTGAGATGACAAGGTACGATGATGCAGCATAGAATCCGTCAATCGTTTTCATTTATATTTTACAGGGTTACATTGTGTATTTACGTTTTACAACAGTTTAAAGTCATTGCTACTGAATGTGTTGGATAATTTTATAGTTTCTGGGCGAAATTCATTTACTTGGTGTGTCTTTAGCAGGCATCATAATACACTCCTTGAATATACTTGTAAAATGTATAAATGGTATAACACAACAAATATCATAGCTAACACTTTTCATCAAATCATATTACTCAAAGGACTCTAACTGATTTATCTATCAAAACAATCACAACGCAGAATTTATTATTAGGATTTGTTTGTTGTTGGTTAGGAATCTTAATATAGGGTTTTGAGAGACATACACGTAAGTTTAAACGTATTTTGCAAATTTAACAAATGTGTTTTGTTTTTATAGGGCTAGTTATTCACGTAGTCCATCCTAAGGAGCAAAAGGTCCAGACATACCATTGTGAGGGGGGCCGTGGAGTTCTTTAAATAAAGGATTCAGCCAGGCACAGAAAATAATTTAAACCCAAACTGCCACCCTACCTCTATCTCATAAGTTACAAATAATTATATACATACTGTATTAATCTTTCTAAGGCCTCAAGTATGGAAATCATAAAAATTTTATATAATTCAAGCAAAATTTGGTATGTTTGTTCCAAATTTTTAGAGATATGGATCATCGATTACAAGTATTTTAGTATAGTTTAAATTTTATGCAGAACTTTTGGTTAGGAAAATCTACGTTTTAAAATTTTATTTCTAGATATTATTTTTTTAAATTCTAATTATTGTAACTTTTTTAATTTGTTACTGTACTTTAAATCGAATTTTTGTTCAAATTGTTTGATCCAGAGTCCTAAAAGCCTTGTATGCTCTTGCATGCGTAAGAGGTAGAGTGGCAATGGGTGTCATATATGTAGTGTTTTATAGAATTGTAGTAAATATAGATGAGCATCCACAAATTTTGTGTTTATTTTCCATACATTCACTTATTAGAAGGCTTTACATTTTTGATAGTAAATATGTGTCAACACAGCCTAACCTCTGCTTGATGGCGAATGTGACCACCCTTATTCCTTTTTTGGTTATTAACATCAATGTTTGTCATACATTAATATTTTCTTAGACAGTCAATTGTTGTTGTCAGTGTTGTTGTTACTGTTGTACTAAAAGCTTTTGATGCGGGCCAATGCAATGTTTTCCACAAAATATTGTTTTCATGATTTATACTTTATAAAGACTAGTTTGTGAATTTTATGTCTCTAATATCAATTTTGGTATTACATTTTAAAAGGTATTTCATTTATATCTATGTAAAGATTAATAATTCTAAAAAAGAAGAATTACTAATTATTATAGAAACTATATAAATAATAACAATTATGATATTAAATTTGATTTTTTATGAGTTATAACAATTAAAATAATTTTTAGAGGGATTTGATGAATCTACATTCGTCTTTACAAAAATCCTTGAAGTGCAAATAAAACTCATTATGAATTGACCTAAGGATAGGTTTTAATAAACTCTGAAGACAAGTAAGTTACATACAAATACAAAATGTAAATAGTAAACAAAGAACAACTGTGAGACAATAAAGAAATTCGTAAATTAAATAAGGAACAATAACAGTTCATATGTATAAAAATATTATCACATATGTCTTAACTGTTTGGTATGTGATAAAAATATGAAGTTATTAGTAATCGAGGTAAACAAATGAAGTAAGAAACGGCAAACATAATACAGTCAATGATAATACTTAACATGAGGACAACCATATCTGTTTATTTTATTTTTTATATAACTTGGGTTCAGAACAATTTGACATGAATTATTTGATTTTGCATTAAACATACTGTATGTTTTTGAGTGAACGAAATTTCAGTAACCAGTAAATCTTAAAATCATTGTAAGTTGAGCGAGTAAACGTGGGCCTAGAATCCCCAATGGATTCAACAAAAATGGTTTATAAATCTACAATTAGCAGAGGAAACACCTTGTCTTCAGATCGTATGAGGTTACTACTTCTTGGCGGATTCATGTCTACCAACTCAGTCAGCTTCTGGATAAACAGCAGTTATATGAGCGATGAGCTCACGAGACAGGTGATGTATATACAAATATTCAGTAATGATATTCTTAACATGTGTCTGCTACACAGCCAGAGAGGAATTATGAAACTCATGACACTTTCAATCACTTTCGAGAGATAGTTGCAGAATCTGAGTTACAGTTGAAGTAATGTATCCAATAATAAAGACAGCGACACTACCCTCTGCACTCTAGTGGCCTCTGTGGTGACTAATGTACTCTCTCACTCGTTCTTGACCAGAAACATGTTTATGTAATTAAGTTTTTTCTAAACATTTAATGAGTCAGGTTAAGTTATTTTTAGCTGTTTTGTACACATATAAAAAAAATACTAAATTAATATTGATCGCTTCAATGGGGACAGCTCTTTCTTCATTACTGTAAACTTATGTAACTACAATTTTTCAATAGTATTGTGTTGAATGAATACTTTAATGCGTTAATCCTTTAATCATGTAAATAATAACCTAATAATAACCAACCATGATCGATCATTAGATTGTAGATTCAGATACTTAGAATATTATTGTTTACTTAGCAAAATCGTGATATTAAGATACCATATTACCATTACTCAGTATATATGTACGTGTATACTCAATGTCATTACTCAGCTCAACCATTGCAAGTTTCCAAGCAAAGGAAATACACAGCTAATAGTGCGCATTGCTTTGCTGTTTGTTTTGCAGATCAACTTTTATTATACTGACCCGGGGGGTTTCTGAATCTTTCTTTTACTATGACTCTAGACATTTAGAAAACAAATTAAGATATGTTTCTCAGGTGAGGAGAGGGCACATCCTCTAAAACCCATACAAACTTTTGGATAAATCTTTAGATTTGTCCTAAACAAAAAAATATTATTTGTATAACAATTTAAATGACGGCATGTACTGTATCCTACTCCTTAGCTAGGTATATATTTGGGTAGTTTTCCAGATCATTCTAAATGCATGATGTCATAGTCTTATCACAAGTCTGCACATTCTGATTGGTCAGCGGCGCCGCACCTGACGAATATACAGAGTGATCGAAACTCCGGCCCCTAGTACAATACGTTGATTACAATACGGTACAGTTGAGTGCAAAATAATGAGTTGAATAGCAGATTTGACATAAACACCTTTTTTAAAATACGCTCAGATCCGAAGTAAAATTAGAGTATTTTATATTTATGATGGAACATTATTTTCTAGCTTTAGATTAGTAAGAATGTGCGTTTTTAGATTACAACTGAAATATATATATATATTTTTAATTTTAAAGATCTTGTCAAAATTTTAGTTTCTCTGTATTTATTAAGTTGTTGTTTTTCAAACCATGGTAGAAACCTCTCTGGAAATGCATCGAATGCTATAAATATGTAACTAACAATCCAGCATACAATTTTTTGGTTATTAGCGTTGGTGAGGATGTTAGAATTTCGCTCAGTTAAGCCCTAGTTGGCCATCGATGAGAAGTGAACTAGGCCTACTTCAATAACACCAACCCGACTGCTAAGTTTTGGTTGATGTTGGCATGGTATTGTGTAGGCTTAACAGCTTCTACTTTTCTGATAGTTCTGCCGTCAATCAGAAAACCAAATTGCAGATTGTTCATATCACCATTGGTCATAGTAATTTAATAACAAGGCTGTACAATTGTCACATAGGTCAGAATTTAGTAATATTTATTTATTTTATTTGTGATTTAATTCCTATTTTCATAGGACAACTTAGTTCATTTGTAAAATGTACGGATGCAATATAGTGTCAAACCAATTTTGTGTTTACTAACTGCAAGAAGCAATATTAGTATATTTAAACAAGTGACAAAATCAATAAATTATGGAATAGTCATATTTGCTTCCATTGGTGTCGATGAATGGAATCTTCATCTGGTACAGGTTAGATTTAATGACAAATTATTGCCAGGGATACGATACTAAAGGCCGTCGCCGTGGCTGTCAAATATCCCTTGTCTTTGACAAAAAATTGTGGAGAAGGGGCAGAGCCACAGTAGAGCGCAGCTTTCAGTCCCGATACCCCACTATGCTGTATAATATAACAATATAGTATATAATTATACAACCAATTTTAATAATTTATTGCGTGACAATGAAAATATCATAATTCTTAGGCATTCAAAGTCCCCTCCATCATAGTTGGCTTCTAAGTGATAATGTCGCAACATAGACTAGACCTAGACTGTAGTATTGCGTAAAACGACTCCAGTTGGAAACCATTCTCCTAGAATTCAATTTGGAATAAAAAAACATAACCCTTGTCCTCATCGATATTATTTTATACATATTCTGTATAGGTCTGGTTTTCCAGTGATAAAGTCTGTTGAATTGTTTAGTGCGAGCAAAGAAAATAGTTCTATTTTCTTTGGTGCGAGTCAACATTCCGCAGTGTTATCAGCTGTGGCGGCCATCTTGATGACGTCACCTCGTCACCTGTCTGCACACTCGAAGTTTTAGATTGTTATTCTCGGAAATGGTCTGTTGAATACACGTTATCAGCACCAGTCAGCAGTCCACTCCGCAGTGTTATCAGCTGTGGCGGCCATATTGATGACGTCACCTCGTCACCTGTCTGCACACTCGAACCCCTTTGTTTCATCTCAACAACCATCAACTGTCGTAAAAGTTGGCATTGCTTGATGATTTTTTTTGGACACGTGACTTTTCTAAAAGGTAGAATAAGATTGAAATTATGACAGTCGAAGCAAATAAGTCGGTCATAATTTAAAGTAGTTATCTTATCAAAACCAACTAACAAAAGAGGAAGACATTCTCCAATGTTATTCTTACAGTTCAAAATATTGGAATAATAAATATATAATTACAAACGTAAAGAGAAAACCCCCCTTTCGACTCTGTATATAAAATAATACTGGAATTTTTCGCAGTCCCAGGTTTCCCAGATAGACACAACAAGGGCCTATAATGTATACCAGATGCAGCCAATGAAAAACAACAAGATTGTGGTTGTATTAGCGACTTACAGTTTGTGATAGAATTTTTAATTCAATTTTCTTCCTTTTTTAAATCGTTCTTGTGAAAAATAGTACAGGGTTTCCAAAAAATAATCACAGGGTTTCAATTGCATTACCACTTAATTTTTGCCCCACGACACTGTGCCTAACACCTAGATTAAGTGATTTTTTTATATATTTTTTGCATATCTGGACATTTGGGAACAAAGGTTGTATCCTCAACTTGAAGAGAGCCTGAAATACTTCATGTTCCAGCTCCACCTCATTGGCACTACGATGTCCAAAGTTATTCGATTAAGGGACTCTATGATGTTTAGATTGGCCGATGTGCTGAGGGTAAGCTCTCCACGTGACCACCCTGGACCTTACTGTATGCGATTTCATTCTCTATTGCTATGTAAAGGACAAGAACATCCTCGAATTACCTCAAACTCTGCTAGAGCTCCGAAAAGGATTTACGTTGCAGTGACTACGGTGGGCCAGGATATGGATACCAACGTTTATGCAGAGTTACAACTTAGACTGGAAAACATAAACCGGGTAGAGCATAGAGCAATTTTAGTGATATCAAACAAAACCTGTGAGGTTTCTTTTTCAATCCATGTAATTTGTAGAAGAAGAATTCATGTATCTATAAGATCACTTAAGTATTTTAAAACTCAATGAATATTGTATGGATACCCAGTATATTTCACCAGATGTTCGGAAAGTAGTTATTTACCACGAAAGCATGAAACATTCTGAAAGCATGGAGAGTGACGTCATCGTCTTATCACAAGTCTGCACATTCTGATTGGTCAGCACCGCCTCACCTGACAAATATACAGCGTGACCGAAACTCCGTTACTTTGAGCAATGGGTTACGGTACAATGCGTTGATAACATTTA